AAAAACTCCCGCAGTTGATGATTATTTTGATATATTATTTAATTTTCTAGACCGAATACCTTTCGAGATATTCGACTTTGAAATGTTATATTAGATTAATGTACACCCGATATAACCTAGCTATAATTAACCATGTGCAGCTAATTAATATGTGCTTATTATAAAAATAGTTAATGTATTTACATAATATAAAAAATAATCATATATTTAAACACTGTTAATTATGAATAAATTAAATCAATACCAAAACCTTATTAACTAACTAAATGTGGACTATAGTTAGTAGTTTTATTGCAATTTTTTATCATAATCATATATTTAGAAACAAACGTATGAATAGTAACAAAGTACAATAGGCTGATATAACGGATTTATAATTATAAAAGCATATACAGGTAGAATAGGATAAAGGCACATAAAGAGTTACGCATATAACCATAATCAAAATTCTTTGTAATCGCAGTTACCTTTACCCTTAACGACCCACCTCTTAAAGGGGGCGGTTATAGACTTTGATCTACCGGTAATATCAACCCTCGCAAGGTATATAAACAGCCGGCGAATTAATTCACAAACTACTTAAATCTCATTGTTTATAACTTATTTAAAAAAGTTTATACACGTAAACAAACTATCAAAGTACCATGGCAGATTTTACTGGCAAATACAAGCAAGTGTCCAGCAACAATTTCGACGCCCTAATGAAGGAACTGGGTGAGTAAAACATAAATTATAGCATGATTATTTAAACTTAAATAAATTATTTTAAAAAATCATGGATAGTGTTTTGTTTATAATTCTATGTACATTGTTTACGCAATATTTAGTTTTAAAAATGTTAATAAAATAATTGTAACTTTTGTGAACTCCAGGCGCCAGCGATGAGGTGGCGGCCGCTCTGAAAAATCAGATGCAAGACTTGGAGTTCAGTAAAAACGGGAATGTCTTCACACAGAAGAGTATATCCCCTCAACGGACACAAGAGATACAGTTTGAGTTGGGAAAGGAGTTCGACGAGAAGAGACACGACGGTAGAACCGTTAAGGTAATTATTAATCATACATATACAGTATACCAGGGTTATAGATAAACTGTAACAAATTTTTGTATGTTATATTATGTGTAAACTTGAGTTAAATGATTACCATATTGGTCAATATCTATTGATGAGTTGTCATAATTTTTATTGTAATTTAAAAATTAATTTGACAAAGCTGTTTTGTTTTTGAGAGGTGGTAGGACAGAAAAATATTTATCTAATCTAAAATATAATAATATTTTAAATAATTAATTAAATTAATTATATTTAAATGCTATATATTTAGTCTGTTGTCGTTTTGGACGGAAATAAATTTGTGAAAACAACTGTCGATAAAGAAAAAGGCAAAGAACTGAAGGTTGTGTCCGAATTCAATGGCAATGAGCTTAAAGTGACGGCCACTTCGGGCGCTGTTGTGGCCACCGGTGTATATACTAAACAGTAGTCGAGCCATACATTTATCCGTTATTTTATACTGAATTTTTCAATTTTGATGATTATTTTAAATAAATTAATTCATTTTTAATTTTATGTTTTCAATATTTATTGTGTGTAAGAGTTAATTGATTTATAAATGTCAAGAGATACTTATTATGAAGTGAGTAATTTTATAATTAATAATTATCATTATTAAAACAATGATAATTTCAATTACGCTAGATATTGATAAGCTAAAAGTTTAATTAATTATTTTTACAAATATAAAATAAAGTTAGCGATAACAAACTAGCACAAAATTATTTTACATTTATTCAATAATTGTACCAAAATAAATTATGTTTAGATTTTTTTGTTTTAAATGCCGCCAAAATATTTGAACAATGTTAAAAAGTAAAAGTAATTTTTTACATTATAAAACTTAATGCTAAATAATAAATAAAATTATATTTTAATGCACAAATTAATGTCAAATAATGTTTTTTGATGATTTGTTATTAATGATATTTATTTGATTATAATAATATATTATTATTATAAATAAAATGTTACTTATAGACCCAATGTACCTAATATACCTAATGTATAATTTTTATTAAATCTATTGCAAAAGCGTTTAATGTAAAATTTTAATTAATACTGTACAAACACTAATTGTCTTACGATTTTTATATAAACTATGAGTTATTTCAAAAAAATTAAAATACTTATAAATTTAACTTTTGTAAAATTTAAAAACTATAATCAAACCACTCGTTTGTAACAATGGCTGAAAGAGTTGGCAAATACTTGCAAACCTCATCAAACAACTTTGACGAGCTCTTAAAGCATATCGGTAAGCATTAAATAACTAAATAGCATGATTATTTATAAGTGTTATAGTTTAATTAAAATTATTTTGTAATTTATTTAATGGCTCAAAAAAATCACAGGAATTCCCGACGATTTGGTGGCAAAAATAGGCTCTCAAACAAACTCACTGGAGATTAGCAAAAGTGGGGATATATTCACCATTAAGTCCATTACGGGGGACAACATTCGGGAACATAAGTTTGAGCTTGGTAAACCTTATACCGAAAGTTTCCCCGGTGGTCGTACAGCGCAGGTAACTTATAATTAAATTAAATTAATTATATTAGTTCATTAGTAACAGCAAATGTTAATCACAATTAGGTTATTGAAATTTATAATAGAAACAGAATTGGGCTAGTTATTTTTAATTCAATTAAAATGCATGAATGTATAATTTTTATTGATACACAGGCTCTGGTTGTTGGCAAAGCGCCCAATCGTTTGATTCACACTCTGGGAAAGGGAGAGAAACAAATCAAAACTGTTTACGAGTTTAACGGCAATGAACTCCGAGTGACCGCCACTTCGGGTCCGGTTGTGGCCGTCCGTACGTACGCTAAACAGTAGGCGCCCTACACCTCAACCGCACATCAATAATAGACATATTGTACAACTTTTGTCCTAAAATAATTATGAGTAGTTTTAAAATGATTATTTAAATAATGTACTTTTTAGAATAAATCTAGTTAATATAATTTGTTAATGTTGTCTTATAGTTTAAAAATAAAAATTATCATGGTGTGCAAACAAATAAACATGGTCAACTATGGTATTATAAAGGTTAATTTTACATTTATATCTTACAATATAATATCGTTAGTGCAAAAAAGGTCACATTGATATCATATCCACACCGTTTGCACTAAATATTTAAATTACAATTTATTACTTGTAATAGAACTGCCTAAATTACGTTAATGCAAATAATAAATCTCACAATGTTACCTCAATGTACATACATTGTTTGAAAACAAACCTAAAAAGTCTTTTGGCATTAAGATAAAATTTATTGATAATTAACAATTGCAATAGAAAAATTAAACTTGCTTAATTGACTGAAAATAATATAATCAAGAGTAAGTTATTGATAAGCTAAATTTTAAAAACGGTTACTGTACCAAGAAACCAAAGTGACGTATGCATAATAGCAAAGTACAATTGGGGGAAGCACTATTGATTTATTGTGCAATGAGAAAACATAATAATAGTTTATACGCTTGCGAGATAATACAAAAAACAATAATATTAAATTTACCTTAATGACTATCTAAAAAAGGTGTGTATATTTAACATTGACCTACCGATTTGATCATGGTATATAAAGAGTCGGCTATTCGCATTACAAAATTATTAGAATTTTATTGTTATTGTAATAACTTATAAGATTGTACACTTCTATTAAACACCAGCATCACTTACCATGGCAGACTTTACTGGTAGATACACACAAGTGTCCATGAACAATTTCAACGCCATTCTCAAGGAACTTGGTCAGTATAAATTAAATTATAAACATTTTTACTCGTAAAAATAAGTAATTTATAGTAATTTAATTATTGTTTTATTTACATACATCATATCTGCAAAAAATACAAAAACACAATACAAATTAATACATGATACTTTTGGGCACAGGTGCAAAACCAGGTGGTGGGGGCGCACCGGGTGTTAAGCCTCAGTCACACGACATTGAGTTCACCAAAAATGGTAATGTCTTCACACAGAGGATGATATCACCCGAACGGACACAAGAGATACAGTTTGAGTTGGGAAAGGAGTTCGACGAGAAGAGACCTGATGGAAAAATTGTCAAGGTAATTCCACATACACACATAATTTACACAATATTGTTTTACGGCTATAAACTGTCAACAATTATCTAGGTCTATGATAAACATATATATATAACGGTGAATATTTAATAAATTGGCCACACATATTGTCTTATATTTTAAATTGCAATAATATTTTATATTACAAATATAATTAATATTCTAGTTTAAAAAAATATTTGTACACATAATTAATTATAAATAATTGTTTATGCGTTAAGCCGATAATATATTGTAATTATGATTAAATAATGTAATTTATTTTGTGATAATTGTTATACAGTGTGTTGTGGTGTCGGACGGAAACAAATTGATTAAAACATCAGTGGATACGGAAAAAGGCAAAGAACTGAAAGTTGTGTCCGAATTCAATGACAATGAACTTCGTGTGACTCTCACTATCGGTACTGTTGTGGCCACCGGTGTCTACGCTAAACAGTAGTCCACGAATTATACGGTTATTTAGTATAATTAATGAGTTATTTATTTTAATAAACATTTTAATTTATTTTTAAGTATTCTAAGATTTTGTTACAAATTAAATATAATTTTAAAAATATGTTATTATTTCTATTTGCTTAAATTATATGTAATTTATTTGTCATTTATTAATTATTATTGTAGTTGTATAATTTCTATCACGATAGTTATTTAAAATTAATATTTTTCATGACAATGATAAAATTAATAATTAATAAATTTAAGTTAAATAACCGATCAACAAATAATTAAAATAATTTTAAGCTGATGTTAATTTTAAAAATTAATTATTATTATGACATTTTTAACAAAATGTTAACATTTGTAAGTTATAATAATTATTTAAACAATACAGTATATTCTTTTCATTTGGGTTATATAGTGCAATGGGTATAATAATTATCTCATAAAATATTAATAAGACCTTTAATCATTATGTAATATAAAATTAAAAATATAAAATGACATTATTATATTTTTTATTACAAAATTTTAAGATAATATATTTACTCGTTTGCACTAAACATATATAAATTCAATTAAGTTTATTGTATTCCTGATTAATATCTGAATTACATTAATATAAACAATATTTACTCGAGTATTAGTATATAAGCCGTGTGTTAAACAGTAGTTAAACAATCATCACTTCACAGTTAAATAAATACTTTTAACAAAGTTTTATTTAGAAACTACAGCCTATCACCGATAAAATGTCCGAAAATAAATCTGGAAAATTCGTACAAACCTCGTCTAATAACTTTGACGAATTATTAAAACAACTCGGTATGTATACCAATGATTAAAGCATTGATTCTTAGGTGACTAAAAAAGTGTTTTAGGTACTTAAAAAGTTGCTTAAAAATGGCTGAAAAGGTGATAAAAAGGTGGTAAAAAGTTAAGAAAAAGTTAG